CGTATATGTTGAAGAATATTCTACAACAAAAAAATAATAATGATAAATATAATATTTTGTTTTAAATATAAAAATATAAATATATAGATATAAATGTAACACAATTAAGATGCATTTTTTATCATTTCATCAACAGGTGTATCTTTTTATACATATATGGTCTTAAGTATATAATTAAGGCTATTACGAAATCTTTCATTATTACCATTCTTTTGAGGATAATGGTTATTTGCATGGTGTAATTTTATTTGTAATTATCCTGTAACCTATTTATTAAGTTCATAACCCATTTAAATAGAAGCACGATCTATAATAATACTACCGGGAAATCAAAATATAGGAATTAAGATGTTTGTAATCATACAAATTGTATCACTTGTAGTGCATTACTTTCTAATGACACTGTTTAACATAAACAGTGAATAGTGATTTACATCCATCTGAATATAGTAGTTTTCTTCTTTATACGTTTTGAATCCAATGATATATATGATATTATATAAAATATATTAGATGTTAATAATTACGGTTATTAGGCTAAATCATTTTATTATACATTACCTGATAAACTAAACATTTCGTGATATATTCCTCAATATATCGAATAATAATTATCCGTCAAAATTTTTGTTGAATTTTTTTTAAAGTTTTATTACTCTAAAACATCCAGTAAATTTACTATGAAAGAAATACATTAAATAAATTTTATATCTTCCTCGTACATATAACTATTCTATTTTATAGTGAGCAGATAAGTTATTTATTCATACTACATCTATTGGAATACTATTTATCTCTTATAAAATCAATCATATCTTGATAAGATGAAATAACACAAAAACATTCATAATCCTCCAATGACTTAAGCAAAATAAAATTACGTAGTTTATATTAGTGTCATTATTTATTGATTTGATTATCCAATAATCTAAACTTTTTGAATTATTTGAACCCGTTAAAATTCTAAATTAAATTCTAAAAATTTTAATTTCCATCCATATAATTTTCTAGTGTTAATAAAATCTATTCCTATAAGGCCTTTGCAATAAGTTTTAATCAATACTATAAAAACTTTAATATAATAATCAAACGTTTCAAAAGTTATAACTATTGAAAATAATTTTTTTTATATTGTACTCTATTTCCGCGGAATGTCACTAAGTTTTCAGAATGTATAGTTAACATATTTAGCCTTATCTATATTGTTCATATTGGTTAATACATTGCTCTATAAACAATACTATTGACCTTTTTTGTATAATATTTACACGAATAAATAGAATAAAAACATTTTATTTTGTGCATGCTAATTCGCAAGGACAATCTGATATCATAAATGTCTGCTCTAAAATAGTTATTCAAAAAGTATGTAAACAAAAAATATATTTATATATTTACTTGCACTTAAAGTGAGTGCACTTAAAAAAAAATAAATAAATAATAATATTTTTTTTTTGCGGGTATTTAAAATTAAAAAAAAATATATATTATGATGATATTTTTTTTATTATAAAAAAAAAAATGTAATCTTAAGAAAATAAATTAGTTTTTCTTTTTTTTTTGGGAAGGATAATGTGCAGACTACTACAGAATGTATATTTATATTTTAAGCTAAAATGTAATATTAAGGAAATTACATTTTAGAGTGTTGCTTATATTAAAAAAAAAATATTAAACTAATAAGTCATATATAGTGTTTATTAATAAAAATAAAAAATTTATATTAAAATTAAGTAGAGTTTACACTACATTTTCCTTATTAATTTATTTGTTTTACATGAAAAAAGTAATTTAACAGCCATTAATAAATCAGAGCTACGAATAATTTCTTCTCCTTAGGAATATAATCTTATTTATAGTAATTATAATCATTTTAATACTTCATGAACTATCATTTACATAATTTAAGTTTCTATATCTCCAATACGTACAATATTCAAATTATTTTAATATCATGTAATATCTATGTTAAATGTAAGACTCTTTAATATTTTACATATTTTTACATGTAAGAACAACTTCTACATATAATATTAAGAAAAAATAAATCATAAAAAATGCACTTTTATTAAATTTATGATTATTTCTTAGAGAAAAATTAGTGTTAAAATATTAAAAATGATAGTATTTATGCACAACACTTTTTATTAATAATACGTCAAAGATTCTAACAAATTAAATTTAAAAAATAATAATTCTTATTAAAATTCTCCATTAATATTTACAAAGATGTCTTATAAAATTTAAACTTCTAAGAAAAAAGTTATATTAGAAAGGGACAATTGTTGAATTCATATATACTATATAAATGAGTTACCTAAATTTCGTAAATAAAATGAAAAATAAAAAATTATTCTATAAATATATAAAACTAAAAATATAAAAGAAAATAAACACATCGTAATAATAATCCACACTTATCAAATAAATATACAAAGGCAGAAAAAAAAAAAAAAAATTTATTTTTTTTATATTTAATTAGAAGATTATAATAATATATATGCAAAAAGTTATTTTATAATTCTATTTTATCTTTATTTATTGATATTTTTTTATGTCACAATAAAAATGCATTCTTATGAATTTTATAAGAAAAAATCTATTATATTTAATTAAGATATATTTTTATATTCAGTAAATAATATTTATATGAATTTTGAAACTGATAAATATTACTCGTAAAAAAGTAAATTTACAAAAATATATTTTTAGAATAAATTAAGTAATTTTGTCAAAAAAAATAATTTTTTTTAAAAAATATTTTTTACTGTAAATATATGATTAAAAAAATAGTATTTTTTTTTTTTTTTAAATTGTAATTAATTATTTGACTTTTAAATGTACTTTTTATAAGATTTGTTATTATAATTTCTTTAAAGTAAATACCTATTTTCACTTTTTCTTTTGAATTTAAGTATTTAATAAATTTTTCTTATTTTTTTTTTTCAAATAGTTGAAAAAGTAATTTTTTTTAAAAAATATTTATAACAAAAAATATATATATACATATATTGCATAAATATTTATCAATAATAAAAATAAAAAAAAAAGAATTAAGATAAAAAAAGTATATTAGAAAAATGAAAAATGTTATATTTAAAAGAAAAATATTCATAAACAAAAATTAGTTTTATATTAAGTGAATAATTGTGACAACTGTAGTATACTGAATTTCAAATACATGCGTATAAAAATTTTTAATTTATAGAGTTTTTTTTTCTTTTTTTGATGGAGATATATCTATATAATATATGAAGATTTATATTTATAAATCATAATATACGGTATATTAAATAATTTAAAGTTCGACATAATTCACAGAAATTGGTAGTTTAGAAAAAAAAAATAAAAAAAATCCTTTAACATTAAATGTATACCATTTATAATTTTTATGTGAATTAAATTAAAAATATTTAAATTTTTTCACATAATTTAAAGTTAAATAAAATTTTAATAAAATATTTCTAAAATAACTTTATCCTATTTATTATATTTTTTATTTATTTGTTAATTAACATTCTTATTTTATTTTTTAAAAAATTAAGAATATTATTCCTATCTGAAGTAACCATAATATCATGTGTAATAATAAAAAATTAGATATTACATTTCATATATGAAAATAATTTTCTATTTTAAAAATTTAAGAAATTAATATAAGTTATAATAATATCTAAATTAATATTACAAATCCATATTTTAGTATTATTGAAAATTGAAACAATTTTACACCTGAATTAACAACTTCCACTCCAATATTATTCTATAAATATATTAATATGAAAACGTTAACTTTATATTTAAAAATTACTATATTCCTTCTTTTAATTTGGATGTATCAATGTTTTTATAACGTAAGTTAAAATTTTTACAAAAAATATACATATAGATATATTTTATTTCTAATTATTTTTAACATTCCATTTGATTTACTATTCTAACAAAAGAAACATTCTTTTAAAAAATTTTTATTTAATCCATAGTGTTATTCCTATAAAACATTGATTGATAAAAATATATTTCAAATAAAAAATGAGTTAAAATATAAAAGAATATTAACAGAGGGTGACATAGCAGCAAAAAAGCAAACTAACGCTGAAGAATGCCCAAAAAAATGTCCATTAGATAATGAAAAAAACGAAAGTTTGGTTCTGGATCTTTACAAGAATCCGTATAATTATTGGTTTAAGTTCAAGGTTCCAATATTTTGGGAGCGATTTAAAAATGAGACAAGTCAAATGGACCATAAATGGAAACTGAAAAAATGGAATGTTGAATTTCAGATATTTTCAAATACGAAATTTAATGATCTATATTCAATAATTCGTAGTGATATTCCAGATAAAGAAAGAAACGAAAAAATTGATAATTTTATGAATGAATTTGACTCAGAATTTGAGGAATTTTTGTTGAAATGTAAGCAAGAGATGGGAGTCAATAAAACAGAATGCGAATCTATGAAAGAGGAGGGAAAAAATGAAAAAAAAAATAAGAAATCAAATATTTCGAAATTTCTTTGTTGTAGGTTTGATAACCACTAAGAGAAAAAAAATTAGTGGTTTAGCAGAGAATATAGTATTAGTCATGCACAGGATCTAGTTAAGAAAAGGAAAAATTAATATTTTGTTTAAATTTTTTTTATAGAAATATATTTTATTTATTAAAAAAAAAAAAAATTAAAGGAGAAAAATTTTTTAGAAAGAAAAAATTTCATGAGAATATTTTTTAATTTTTAAGAATAAAATTTTCGTTAAGTGATATTAATATAATTAAAATTTTTTTTAATTATTTAAGTGTTTTTATTATTTTTAAAAGCAGTGAACTTAAATTACTGAATATTACTTATAAAAAGCAATAATTATTTTCTACATATAAATTAATAATTAATGAGAATATATGTTTTTAATAAAAATGCATAATTTTTATCAAAGTAAATTCACAATAAACCGCATTATTGTAGTTTATTTGTTTATATCATTAATATTAGATTTAAAATCCATTTAATTACTAGAGAAAACTTCATATTCTCTTTAATAATTTGTTTTTCATTACTCTAGCAAATTCATTCAATGATAATTTAATAAATTAAAAATGTAATTTATGGAAAGTAAATAAATCAGATAGTAAATGTAGAGGATAAAATAGAATAAAAAAAGTTGAATGCAGAATTATTACCAGCTTATCTACATGACAAAAAAAGGACACAAAAAAGAAAAAAAAAAAAGTCTTTATTGAGAATTATTAGAGTTGAAGATTTGTTAATAAAATGAATTATTAGTCTTTTTGAGAAAAAAATTAATTACTGTATGAAAAATAAATAGACATGAAATTACTAGATAAATGAAAAAAGATAGAAATGAATAGTGTGAAAAAAATATTCAAGTTATTTAAAAATAGAAGAAAAATTGATAAAAAGTTTTTTCGTGGAAAATTTTTATTTTTGAATTTTAAAGAGAAAATTTTATATTAACAATAATAAAATTTTCGTGTTTGTAGTACTGTATAACTTATTTTGAGTTTTTTTATTTATATTTGCTAATTCGCGGGAAGTGAATTTGAATTGTTAAAAATTAGTCATAACATTATAAGTAATATATATGTGACTTAAAACTATAATTAATAAAGATTTAAATTTTTAATAAAAATAGGGATTTTTATTAAAATAATTAAATGCCTATTGAAATTAAAGAATGCTGAACGAAGTAGAGCACATAATTAAGAATCATCCGTACAAAACATATTAAAAATATATATAAATACAACAAAATCGTAGAGAAAGCTCTACACGCTCTTTATTAATTTGTATGTTCAGTACTCTAGTAAGGTCACCGAACACCCAGTTAATAAATTAACAACCAGCCACGTATTCCTTATATAGCTAGTCCTTTTTATTACAAAAAAGGTTAATGAAGGTTTTTATTAACCAAATGCTGAATGAAGTAGATTACATGATTAAGGATCACTCGTTCAAATATTTAAAAATATATATAAATACGTCAAATCGTAGAGGAAACTCTACATACTCTTTATTAATTTGTTTTTTTAGTACTCTAAAAAAGTCACCAAACACCCAATTAATAAATCAGCATGTTAGAATACTGGGAAAAGGTGAACACATAAATTTGTACACTTAAAAAATTACTCTCTCTAAAAGTAAATATAAGAAAAAAAAATATAGATATATTTTATTATATTTTTTTTTGTTGTAACACTAACTTGGAAAAAAAAAATAATTTATTTTCTTTTCACAATAATTTTTTTTTTATTTTTTTTTTTTAAAAATAATTTACTATATTAAAAGAAAAATTTTTATTTTTTTTAAATGGAGATGATCTATAATATTTTTTTTTGGAAGATTAAAAATGAAATGTAAAAACGTGATATGCATGGCATATTGTGTAAATTAATAACATTAGTAATTAAATAACTCAGTTATTACTTTATATTAATTAATAAAAGTGAATAATTTGTATTATACTTTAATTAAAAAAAAAGAAAATGAGTAAAATTTTCTCTATGTGTTCTTTATTATTTTGTTTTTTTAATATTACTAAAGTCATTGAACGAGTAATTAATATATCAAGTAATATATAGAAAAATTAATAAAAAAAATGTAGAACATTCTCTATTAATTTAATGAATTTAAATATAATTTCAATACTATAAACCTGTAAAATGTAAATTATGTAGCTTATTGAGAATTTATTTACTTTAATAAAAATCTTACGTTTTTATTAATAACAAAAATTTACATTAAACATTAATTTTTAAGTATAAAATATTCAAATATAATTTTTAATGAATAATTTTCATTTATGCAAGTTCATTTTTCTTAAAAAGAGAAAAAAAATATTAAATTATATTAATATCACTAACAGCGAAAATTTTACACTCAAAAATATATTCTCATTAAAATATTTCTTCCTAAAAATTTTTTCTCTTTTAATGATTTTATTTTTTCTCTTTAAAGAAAATAAAATATATTTCTATAAAAAAATGTAAAGCAAAATATTAATTTTTTTTAACTAGAACTTGTGCATGGCTTATTAAATATTTTCTTTTCATATATTAATTTTTATTTTAATAAAGGTTAACTAAATCTATTTATATCCAATTTTTTAGTTTTTAATTTTTTATTTCTTGTTTTTATTTTATTTATTTCTTGTTCTTTATATTGAGGTAAAAATTTTTTGTAATATAAATGAAGATTTTTCGAAATTCTATCAATTATTTTTTTTCTTTTTCCATTTGTAATACGATATTAATGAGTCAGTGACAATTGTTCTAATTCTATTTCTTCTGAAATATTATTTATATAAGAATCCAATATTTTATCTCTACATTTATATATCATTTCATTTTCTTCATTAAATTTAACTTGATCTACATCGTTTGTTTTAATATTAGCGTTATAACATTTAATATAGCTCTGAATTAAATAAACAAAATCTTCACGACTAATCTCTATTTCACCAGATGGATAATGTTCTACAAGTTTTTTAATATAAGATGAATTTTTTTCTGATTTATCACCCTCTGCTAACATTCTTTTGTGTTTTAACCCAATTTTTGTTTGTGAGGTATCTTTATTAATCAAAGACTTACTAGAATCATCCTATGGGATTAAATAAAAATTGTTTAAAATTTTTTTTCAATTGTTGTAGTAATAAATTGAGTAAAATTTTTAAAATTATTAGAAATAAAATATATTTATATTTGTTTTTTTTATATGAAGTTTATCTTACGTTGTAAAAGTAATGGAATATCCAAAGTAAAAGAAGAAATGTAAAAATTTTTAAATATAAAGTAAATGTTTTCATTTTAATACTATTATAGTTTAATATTTTTTTTTTTTTTTTTTTTTTTTTTTTCTATAAATCATTATTCAATATAAAAAATATTTAAAATAAAATAAATTATTGATAATTATTTATTCTTTCTTATTTTTAAATTTTTTTTTATTGATAATTCATTTATTTGAAAATATTAAATTTTTTATCATTAAGCTAAATAAAAAAGAATAATAAGAAAATATTTTTAATTTATTATATATATGAAAATAAAATGTACTATTATCCTTTCTTTTTATATACATAACTTTATATTTTTTAGTATCTTAATATAAATTTCTCTAAAAAAGTAACTTTATATGTTTTATAATTATATTAATATAACAATTTTTATTAAACTAAAAAAATTTGTGAAAAGTTCAAGTATATAGGAATAAGAATATGTATAGTTAAACATGTGTATGTTAATTTTATTAAAATTCCATTATTATTTTCCTTTATTTTACATTTCTTTAAAAATTAACTATTTGTAATGAAAAATAAAAAAAATACAGAATTTAAATTAATAAACATAATTATATTTTGGTTAAATATATGTAAGATTATAATAGAAATGTTAAAAATTATAAATATGCTAATAATATTTTCAAGTTATAACCTATTCATTAAAATTAATTAGGAAAAATTAAATTTATTTTTACTTTATCAAAATAATTAAAATTTGAAGAAAAAAAAAAAATAAATTAAAAAAAACGAACTGAATGTATTTTTTTTTCGTTTATTAAATTTATTTACACAGATTTTTTTTTTTTTTTTTTTTTACATATATTGCATAAATATTTATCAATAATAAAAATAAAAAAAAAGAATTAAGATAAAAAAAAGTATATAAGAAAAATGAAAAAAGTAATATTTAAAAGAAAGATATTCATAAACAAAAATTAGTTTTATATTAAGCGAAAAATTGTGACAACTGTAGTATACTGAATGACAAATACATGCGTATAAAAATTTTTAATTTATAGAGTTTTTTTTTC